ATACGGGACATTGAACTAATACTTGGACTTTGATATGAATTTCTTTAACAATTTTCTCTGCAGTGCAAGTTATTAAACTAAAGCTACTCTATTTTCCAAATGTGTTCCAACAGAAATCCTTCATAACTTCTAGCATGGTATCTTAATAAAGAATAAAGTTCTTCTCTTTAAAAAATCTGCTCTAAGTAGATTTTTCCCCTGTTTTTTTAAATTAAGGATCCCAGCAGTGGTATTCTGAAATATTCTCTTGAATTTGTGCATTTAAATTTTATTGCAGTGGTATAGATGAATGCCACTGTTGGTATCCTTAAATTTTATTTCTGCTCACCAAGGTTAATCATGATTGTCTATATCTTTTTTATAGTAATCACTTTTGAATTGTGTTCAGATATGCAGTTTCAGGTGTAATCATCAGAGCTGGTTAGTCAGGCATTCCAGATAGTGGTTCTTTTCAGAACCTTTTTTAAAGGGTTGGTTAACTACCTCAGTAGCAGAGGATTGAACTATACCCTGTCTGTACTGTACATAGAAAATCTTTGTAGATAAAAGCAAGGCTTGTTAAATATGATATGAGGGTAAGATTTTAATATACCAAATGTAACATTCTTAGTTGCCTTTAGTTTCAGAGGCTTGTAAGACTTCCTCATGACCATCATAACAGGCCTTGCTTTTGTCGTATTTTGTGGCTGAAAAAGCAGCCTTGCTTCTTCAGATATTGTAGTTATTTGGATGTATAATAGTTTAGCAAGATGTTACTTTTGTAAGACATCAGATGTTCAAAAAAGTGCATCCGAACTTGTACTAAATACTGCAGTGTCCCTTTATAAAAAGTCAGACTAAAACTGACAATTGTACAGCAAAGCCTGACATTTGGATATTTTGAAGTTTTTTCATAAATCATAGAAACTAGTATATGGCTGTAGTTTAGCTTTTTAGGTAAAAGGTATGTTTCATTAGTGCATTTCTTACTGCTGATCACTGTAAAGATGTGAATCAGCTTTCCATTTCTTACGCAGGTCATGATAACTTGTAGAGTAGAGTACAATCATTTGTGCTATGTTTTTAATTTTCTAAAGCACCTTGATGACAGTGAGTGTTCAGTGGTGAAGCATCCTCTATTGAATCACCCTCAAAAAAAATTTTTGCCAAGTCCTAAGTCGATAGCTTAAAGTCAAAAGTAAAATTATAGTTTAATTAGGACTTGGTGTAAAGAAGTCCCTCTCCCCTTCCCCAAAGGGATACTGCAGTTATATCACATACCCAATAGGCACCACGATGAAGATCAGAGCTTATACTTATTAAGGTTTTATACACACCAGTTCCCCAGTAAATGCAAATTTAACAAAATTAGACATGTCATATGTTCAAAATGCTCATGGCAAACAATCATTTTGCATTCCTGCAAATAAAATTGTTTTATACTGTAAGCTGGAGGCGAGTGTAACTTATTTTTGTAATAAAGTTTTTATTTTTTTTATGTGTCATTAATATAAATGTGTGTTAGTATAGAAACTTCTGGTTTAAAAACTTAGAATTGCACACATTTCAGTATGTTTATTTGTACTTACATAATTTTAGAATAGTGGTTGCCAATAGCCTGTACGTTTCACATTGTGGTTTTTTTTTGGTTTGTTTTTTCTTTTTCTTTTTTTTTTTTTTTTGTTACCTTAATAAACCATTTTAGTATGTTGTATGTCAGTTACTGGGATAGCTGGGACATAGAGTGTAATTTAAAATTTGTCAATAAGTATTCATTGGAATATATGTAAATGTGCCTTGCCGGTTATTGAAACTTACCTACAAATGAGTATGGGGTGACACAAATTTGTTCCTGGTGCTTAATGAAACTTTCTGCCACTGATTTTATATATTACCCCGTGCTTTTTTAAAGTACATCTCAAATCTTAGTGTAAGTTTGAGGGCTACACAAAACATTTACATTTCATTCTAACATAATGAACATAATAGGGTGTGGAAAGTGAGTAAACTAAATGTAGCCTTCAGTAAAATTGAATCTCAGTGTAATCCTTGGTGCTGGCATTTCCCAGGTCCAAGGAGTTAAATAATCCCATCTAAAGAGGTCATTGCCATGCCTATTGGCACTTAACTGTCATACCATTTTTAAGGGACACTGTCAAGGTTCTTAAATTAATTCTCAGAATTGTATGTTGGGGTGTTAGGACAGGTTTGTTTGACTTAATGAAAGAACTGTATTGTCAGAAGTTGAAAGATGAACACTTTTGTGAGTTCACAAATGTGTTCCTCAACAAAACAGTAAGGAGCTCTGAGTTTCCAAGATTATTTGCCATTCTTAGTTTAGGGACTTGGGAGGGAAAATGAATCTAAAGAAATTGTGAAGAATTGATGGTTATACTTAAAGGGTAATGTAAACAGTGGTGATGAAATGTATACATGCAAGTGAAATTACTTGACAGTGTTCATTTGAATAACTTTGAATTCAAGCCATTATAATTACTTTTGAAATTAAATATCATTTGCACTGTTCTGATAATGGGTGCAGTTTTTGAGCAATATATTCAGAGCTAAATATGCATGTAGTGATTAGTGATGTGAACAATTAAGTTCTGAGAAGAAACACTAACTGGTATTTTCAAACTTAAATTTCTGTAGTAAAATCAGTATCAAACTCTTACAGAGATCAAGGAAAACAGGCAATGCATATAAACATAATTTTGAATGTTGTGTGGCCTATTAAGCAATAATGCAATTTATATGGAATGTCATGGCATATGAGAAATGGAAATGCAAAAATAACTAATTCTTTAGTAAAAATGTCAACATGTTAAAAGGGGGAATGTTAACTAATGTAGGTTATTGCTATTTGTTATTTGTTTATGGGTTCTTGGCTTTGACAGCTTCAAAGAATGGACAGATGACAAGTTAAAGAAATTTTGTATATATTGTCAAGGAAAGGGTCTTAAATCTAATAGCCAAGTCCCTTCCTTGGGGTGAAAAGTAATATCTTTTAAAGTATTCTAATTGTTAAAAAGAAAAGTTACCTAAAAAAACAGACGCAAGATTTTGTTTCTGCAGACTACTTGGCAATCAAAAGTGATCATAAATTTAGTTCTATCAGTTTTCAGAAAGTTGCTTTGTGAGAAAATTGAGTTAATTTTGTATTCTCTCAAGCATGATTTTTTGTGGAAGATTTTTGCCATTGCAGCTGAATCCCATGTTAAAAATGAAGGGAGAATTGAGCACAAGAGGAGTTTGTACACTCATGATGGCAGTTGTTGTAACATCATGAGAGACATCTTAACCAATTACTGCAAATCTGACTTAACAGAGCAAACATTTCTCTCAAAATAGGAATGCCAAGTGGATTGATGTTGTGATCTGGGTTTTTTTAGTTGTCTGTAAGATATTTGAAAACTTAGAATATTACAATGAACACTAAACAAAATTTAAACAAAAAAATGGGCAAAATTGACAAGTTCAGTACAGCTTTTTTGACTTCCAAGCCAAAATCATTGTTGAATCAGAAACAGCAAAACATTACCATATTACAGAATATGGCATGTAGTCTGTATTTTGTGGGGAGAAGTAAAATATGACTTCATGCATTAGGAGAGGGAATTAATCCTAGAGTGAACGATTTGCTCAGGTTCCTAAAACTTCCATGAATACTCAGTCATGACTGTTTTCTCCCCATTTATGTATACCATAAATTTTTTTTAACTATAGGAATTCAGTGGTGTGTTTAAGAAAGGTTAATGAATAAATAAGTAACAATACTTCTAAGAAACAAACTTGTGGGAATGGTCTTTAGTATTTACTCAGCAATCATACCACTCAATAGGGCATGCCACTACTTAAGATGCTACTTGTGAACCAGTGCTCACATTTTTTAACTGGGCAAATGAGTAGATGGACTTTTGAGGTCTGTCACTTTTTAAAAGTTCGTAAGACATAAACCACAATCTGCCTTCAGTAATACACCTAGAATATTTTTCAGGACCAGAAGCATTCGGTTGGAAAAACAACCTTTTTTGCAAATGCAAATCAGTATTACTACTAACACTCTGGGTCAAGATTAGGTTTTTAATATTAACAGTAGTCTGGTAAACATTTAGAAGTCTGGCATTGAGAAACAAAAGCTTGTACCTGACTAGTATTTTAATTAAAAAAAAAAAAGTCCTGTTTATTTAAAATTCTTTTACATTTATTTATCCGTAGAATTTATATTTATTTCATTCCTTTCATCTCACTGAAAACTGTCTGCAGGTTCTTTGATTTGGATTAGATATGTGAAGTACTGTCTTTCGCCAAAAACCTCAAATTACCTGTTTTTTTTTTTTTTTTTTTCTTTTCAACGTAGTGGGTTTGTGCTTGTTTGGAGATCAGTTCAAAAATTATCTGTACTATCTGTACTGCCTCTGATGTTAAGATTTTATGTATAGCATAAGGAAGCTAGCTCTGACTATATTTTCCTAAGAATAAAGACCTATTTTTGTAGCATGTCTTAGGATCTCCAGGAGTCCAAGAATTATTGTGAGTGTCCTCCATTTCATCATTTTTCACTTAACAGCGTTTAAATAGATAACTTGAAATATTTAGAGTTCTATCGCGTTTTCATCATGCATACATTCAAAAGTATCTAGTGATGGTAAAAACAAATTCCCTAAGACTATAAGCACACGACTGGGAAATGAATAGAATAAATTACTGGGCTGGTCTTTACTTGAGATTTTGATTTTTGGAAATACTCTGGTCACACATGTCCTTGATTCCATGAACTTAATTTAATCTTACTTCTGGGAACATGATTCACTGCAGTATTCTTCCATTCTTCTGGTCTCTATTTCTGGCAAATAAAATGTCTTTGAAGATTTGGAAATGAGATTGAAGTTGCAAGTAACTCAGGAGAAGGGAAGAAACACATGATACATTTTATTAAAAATGTGCATTTAGCTAACTGAATGAGGTGAGGAAGAACTCTGCTTGAGTGTTTTGAGCTAGCTAAATGGACAAATGGTGGGGACTTATAAATACATTGGAGGATTTTGGCTCAAAGCAGTAGTATTTCTTGGAGGTGGTAGTTAGGTGGAAGGCTTATGTCACGTCAGGACACAACTTAAAATTTGTCATTGCAGAGTTTAGTTTCTACTTAGGATTTTGAAATTTGGATTGATTAGTGAATGTTTCATCATTTCAAACAGTCACGAAGTCCTAATGAAACATTTTGGAAATTAGTGTCCTAAATGTTAAAGCTTTCTACGTGATTTTTTAACACAAGCAAAAACTTTGATTAAAATAAGGTCATTGTAGGATAACTAAGCTTCATTAATTTTTTTAAACTGTTCCTAGTTTAAAGCAAATTCTAATCTGAGGAAAATTACAGTGGCTGTATCTGTAATGTTCATGAATTGTCGTTTCTTGCCTTTCTTTGGCTTTTAGCCATATTCTGAAAAAATGTATTGTGACTGAATTTCAACTTGGGAGATAATATAGGATACTGAAGGGCACTAATATCTGTCTCTGAACCCAGAGCCAGATTTTGCTTTTTCAGAGCAAAAAGTAAAAGGATTTGGTGTGGAGAAGAGATTATTACAGAGTGAAAAATAAAAAAGGCTGTGACAGTAATATGAAATTGGTAGAAAACTTTTATAGATTCTACTAGATAAAACCAAGTCTACAAGAATAGCATCCATGTCATACCAGAGTAATACCAACATTACGTCCTATGGCTGGCTCATTTAATGGTGTTAATTTTAAATGAGATGAAGTTTGAATAACCATGGGATTTATGTGACACAAGTACTGCATCATTTGAGTACAAAATTGTGGAAGCTAGGTACATGTAAATATATCAAGTCTTCACTTTTAGGAAAATACCAGTATTTGTATTGGTTGCTTTAATTTGAAGACTCAGGAATTAGACCTAAAATTGTTAGCATGTTTAGGGAGAATAAGCTTATATACAAGTTGTGTTTCTCATTTAACATTTGAATGTGCCTTGAAGGAAGCAATCTATAAAAATTGGGAAACTGTTTTTCTGTATTCTGTAAGTCATGCAAATGTAATACAGTGTAGTTTTGACAAATCTAGTTCATAACTCTTGAAATGGTAAAATTCCACAAACATTTGCAGAAATTTAAATTTTTGGGAATTCTTCATTAAAGCGCAATTCCATCAACCACTCTACCTGACTTCAAATATACATAGGGTTAAAAGACATGCCTTTTTATTCTAAGGTTACATAATTTAGTGGCCTTTTGTCCCCTTATTCTCCCCACATTTAGTATTTAGGAGAACCTCGAGAAGAGGGCACATGCCTGTAATCCTAGCTACTCAGAAGGCAGAAATCAGGAGGATTGTGGTGTGAAGCCATCCCATCCCAGGCAAATAGTTCACAAGGCCCTATCTAGAAAAATCCTTCACAAAAAGCAGGGCTGATGGAGTAGCTCAAGGTGAAGGCCCTGAGTTCAATTTCCAGTACCGCAAAAAAAAAAAAAAAGCAAGAGGATACTGTACTCAGTTTCTGTGGCTTAGTGCTTCCATTTTGTTCAGTCTGCTTATATTAACAAGTTTATGAGCGTTCTAGTCTCTACTGTCTTTTGTCTCCCTTTAAATGGAAGCTCTTTGAAGGAAGGGAGATCTGAGGTAAATGGTATTGTACAGGTAATTTAAAGTCTCGAGTCCTTTTCACTTTGGTAGACCTGTAGCTTATTTGTTCAGTTAGGCTTGATTGTTACATAACTTGAAAAGGAGTCATATTTGGAACCACAATTTAAAATATAGAGAGCTTCTTAAAGTTCACAAACATAAAATACCAACATTTTAAGTAAGTTTAAGAACATGACAATCCACACTTAAATTGTCAATCTGACTTGAGTAGTAGTCATAAGATTTTCAGTTGAGGGAATAGTAGATCTTGTAATTTACAGACTGCTTTGTTATTTTGTTAAAAACCTGTGTGGAAGTCATTGTTTATATTTTCCTTATTTGGAATGAGTGGAAAATGGTATTCATAAGTCATCCTTTAGCAATGGACTTTAGGAAATCTAGCTCATCAATTTTCCTTCATGCTGATGTTTGATTTGATTGTATACTGCTGAACAAAACGGTACTGGTAAACCTCCTGTCTATATTTCTTTATGAGAAAGTGGTACTTCAAGATTGGCTGGTTAAAAGAGTAGTTTCCTTTGAGTCCATAAAGTTTTTATAAGGTTCTTTTGACATAGCATTTTAAGGATGAGCAGGTAAGTATGCTTGAGAAAAGCAATGTAAGCTAGATAACTAAAGTTATCTTGAAAGCAGTTTCAAAGAATATCTACATTGCTTACTATATAATCCATATGAATCTCAGATTTACTACCAATATTTAGATGGTTAAAGTTAAATATCTGAGAAATTTGAGTACTAATGAATAAAGGCAGTATTTGTTTACTTGATTATAGTTGACATTTGAACTTGATAGTACTTCCCCCCTTTGGTTCAAGTAATCAAACTCAGAGCTTTGCACATACTAAGCCCACACTCTACTACTGAGCTACATACTCAGCCCCATTGATAAGTACCTTTTAAAAAATGTAAAAATTTTACAAAACTATATTGGTAGTACTGTCTTAAAAATGTAGGAAACCTGTACATGGAAAACATACAAACAGCACAGGCTGTGAAGTTCTCCAACACATCTCAGCCTTCTTCCAGAGATAACTCCTCCCCATCTAACAGTTAATTACCAAGTCTTAAGCAACATTTTTTTATTCCTTGTGAAGAACTGAGCTTACACTAATGTTCATTGCTAATTTTAAATTTATGTGATTACCCTTATTATTAGGAATACACTTAAGTTATGGGTGTGGAGGTACGTTCCTCTAATCCTAGTACTTTGGGAGGTTGAGATAGGAGGACCTGGAGTTTGAGGCCAGCCTTAAATATGAAGACATATAATACACAAAGACACCCCTTACAGTAGAATAAGGAAATGGCACACAGATCTGTTTCTTTTCATTCATCTCCCAATTCTTGTTAGCTATTTTTCTGCTGTTAAATTTACATCCCTATCTTACACCTTGTCAGTATACAGAAGATCGCAACAAAATTTATAATGCATAATGTGCATTCTGTTTTGTCAAAACCCAGCCTTTTACATTCCAGAGCTTAATTCTGTCATTTACTTAGATTTACTCCATTCCTAAAATATGAACCATGACTTGAATTTTATTTTCGAGTTTGTAGTTGTCCTTGTTATGTTTTGAAAAAGTTTTGCTGAGCTTTTTGTTTGATGCCCTCTGCTGAATGCGTCCTGAGATTGTGTTTTCCCTCTGCATTGCTTAGTTCTACTGTTTCTTAGATTCCATATGTTGCTTTTGATTTGCTTATGTTTTCAGGTAGTATTTTCAGAAAGGTTAGACGAACTGTGAAACATTCATGCATAGAGGAAAATGTCTGTTTTACCCTTGCTCTTGTTTGACAGTTGAGATAAAGGATTCTAGCTAAATGTTTCCATTAGCGTTTTAGAGACATTGATCCATTGTTTCTAGCATGCAGTGTTAATGATGAAGTCTAATTTGAGTGCAGTTCTTCCTTTGTAGGTAATTTTTTTCTTTTGTGACTGTTCAGATTTGTTTTTCATTTTTATTTGGTTTTCCAGTGCTTCATAACGTAACTTTTGTTATTCATTTATTTTACTTTTTAACTAGAAGTCTCAAGCTCTTTGTGAATTTTAGCTTTTTTTTTTTCAATTTTTTGCACTTTGAAGCTTGGTTTGAAGCAATTGGATTAGATGTTTAAACTTTACCGCACCCATCACTGTAGTCTTTCTTATTTCGTAGAAAGTTTTTTTCTCTCAGTGCATTTATTGATATAAAATTTCAGCATTACTTTTATATATGCATTGACATGATAACTCCTCTGTCTTTTTAAAGATGTTTCCTGTAGTGAGTGGGCTGGACTGCAATGTCTGTTCTTTCCCGCATGCAGTCTGCTACTGATCAGCACTTACAACCTGGTGGCTCCTTGTTCTTGGCAGCTCACCACCATGAGTTTATGGATATCCAGTCAGCATAGTATGGGCATTATAGCGTCAAACTCCAGGGCTCAGGCATTGATCACTCTTGACTGAGAGATTTTTATTTTTATTTTGGCGGTACTGGGGCTTGAACTCAGGGTCTCATGTTTGCTAGGCAGGTGCTCTACCACTTGAGTGTCTCTGCCAGCTCTAGAGATATTTTTTAGTAGTGTCTCACATAGTTCACAGTGGTTATTTTTTGCTTCTGATTTTTTTCATGTATTTGGTGGTCTATTCATGTTTATGAAAGGATATTTGACAAAAGTAGTCTGATGGCACTTGACTACTTGTGATGACTGAGTGCAAGTTCTGTGAGAGAATATGAGGACTAACAACTTTAGTCTGGGAGCAGAAAGGAAAGCAATTGAGTGGGAATCTCGATTTTCTCCCACGCTCACTTTGAGGAAAAATGTAGATATAAAAGCAGTTTTACAACAGGTTGCCACCTAAATTTTCTCCCTCCTCCACTCCAGCAAACCAGGAGGTCTTGCTTTTTCCTTCCCACTTACTCTCTCCCCATGGAAATGGCTCCTGTTCTATGTAGCCCTGTGAATGCAAAACTACAGAGGCTCATTTCAGCTTTTGTATGAAGAAATATTTATCTTTTGTACCTAAAATTTGCAGTTCGATGTAAAAAGTGCCGGTTGAAAATAGTTTTAAAATAAAATGGGTGGTAAGATATATCAGTATGTATGCACATACTTCTCAATTTAGTAGAAGCTGTCATAATCTATATTGCTTTTATATCACTGACTTAAAATAGTCTAGGAAAAGTTTGAATAAATCTTGAAAACAGCACCTGGTATGCTGAACAGTACATAATGAACATTTTATGACTAAAGATGCAAAGAAAGTGACATTCTTGACTGATGATATTAAAAGATGTCTTTGGAAATAGAACAAGTTCATTTTAGAAGTTTCAGAACATTTAAAAAGAACCATAGGGATTTTTCCTCCCTTTTACGTTTAACACCTTGCATTCATGTCTCCATTATTGCGAGAGGGTTCTCTCAAAGGGATCTCCAGATTTGATGGGAGTCCATTAATCCTCCTATGGAATATGTTTTTTCTGCTGCTGAAGTATACTCTTCGATGATTAGGGAGTCTAAATCTCTAAACATTTTTCTGCATAAATTCCAGTCCTTAAAACTAAATTGAAAAATCTTAAGTAGTAGACCTAGATCTTTGAATCACAATTTATGACTGTTTGGCCTGTATGTTAACTTTTCACATAAACTTACAAGGTATAGTTTGCTGAAATAGAGTATTGAATGCTTTAAGGTACTCTCATAATTTCAATGACTTGATAATTATCCCCATCTTTTTTTTCTTTTTTAAAGTATTTCCAGGTGAAAAACCAAAATTTTTTTCTTGGTCATTGAGGCATTGGGAGCAACTATGTACAAACATTTAGTCTCTGGAATTGAGTTTTCTTGCCTGTGTAAAAAGATGATTATATTCTGATACTTTTTTAGCTTCCAAGTTCCATGAGATAGCTTGTTTTTAATTTTATTAAAATTAAAAACAATCTAGAAATTAAAATTAAAAACAATCTAGAGATTGGTTTTTTTGCTTTATTTCATTTATGGATTTGTTGTGAAGGCTTAGTTTCACAACATAAGACTGCTGAATTCACCTTGTACCTTACTCTTGTAAACATTTCTGATGCATTATTTGTGAAACTTAGTTGCTCTTTGAGTGAAAGAGTAGACTAGATATTTCTCTTACAGCTAAGAAAGCTAATATTGGAGTCTGTATAATGGAAAGAAAACTATTAAGCCTCTCATTAGGTGTTCCATAAAGCATTATTGCAAGTTATTTCCAAGTTCCTTAAATGTCTTAGTTTACTGGGAGTCAGCCTTAGTCATGTAGGTGTCAGCTAATACGTTAGTCTACTTTTGTGGTAGTAACTGCATCTTTTAATCTTAATAGTGTTTCAAGTCTGAAATTACAGGTAATAGTTTCCCCCTGTA